GAAGCTTGCCTCCATTGGCAGGACTGGACAACCCGGCCAACGAAAAAGCCCTGGTACCCTCGAGAAGAGGAAAGCCCAGGTGGAGTCTGATGAGACCAACTTTGTACCTGAAGCCTACATCGACTGGATGCCACCGGTTCGCTCTGATCCTGTGTGGAGTATTTCAACAAAGCCAGCTAAAAATTGCTGTTAGTTATTTTCTGCCCTGTGATTTTATGCAAAAATAGGAAAAATGGTTTAAAAGTAGATTTAGTTTGCAAACTTTTGCTATGCTGTTAAAAGTTTGGGATCAAGGTTGAGAAAATTTGTGTTTTACATCAGTTGAACCATTTTAACATTTTTTCCCCTGTGATTTTGATATATTTGCTATCTTGTTTTAGCCAATTCTCCAAATTTTTTTCTTTTGGCTTGGATAATGGACTATTTTTAAGTAATGAAACTGTCATACTGGACATTCATGGACAATGCTGCTGACTAATTGTTGCTTCTCTTACACACATTGTAACCCTAAAAAAGACTGTCTCCTAAGACTACACCCTGAGATTGTGCCACCATAGATATGGTGGAATAAAAATTAAAAGGGGGGATTGTAACAGGGTGGTCCCCAGGAAAGGGGGAGGTTCCCTGCCCCACCCAAGGAAGGGTGGAGCTGAGCAGGAAGAGGAGAAGCTGCAAAAGAGACTGAGGAAGGAAGCAGGATGGAGCCAGGAGACCTGGAGGAGGCGCATGGAGCCTAGAGACAAGTAAAGAAACTGCGCTTGTCTTTTGGTCGTGGACGGGGTGACTCAGATGTGGGTGAGACCCGTGGGGAGGTGACCATGGCAGCTTTTATCTTGATGTTGATTTTGCTCTTTTTCTTCCGGGCTTGTCTGGTTGTTTGTGACCCTTTTCTGTGGGTCCCCACTGGAAGATGCTTTAGACTTGTGGCAGGCTTTGGGGCCTTGTTCTGGGCCGATCCCATATGGATGGACTTTTACCCACGAGGGGATGGGTAACTCTGGATGCTTCATTTAGAAACTAGACTCTTTGCCTTTCCTGTATTGTTTCCTAGTTTTATTAAAGTTCCTTCCCATTAAAGTCTCCTATGTTTTGTGTTGATGCGGCGGATGGCAGAACCCATGTAGAATAGGCAGGTTTGCGGGGTTTTGGGCTGCCCCTCTCCCTGTCCTATAACAAGTCTAGTTTCTAAATGAAGCATCCAGAGTGACCCGTCCCCTCGTGGGTAAAAGTCCATCCAAATGGGATTGGCCCAGAGCAAAGCCCCAAAGCCTGCCCCAAGTCTAAAGCATCTTCCAGTGGGGACCCACAGCAAAGGGTCAGAAACAACCAGACAAGCCCGGAAGGAAAAGAGCAAAATCAACATCAAGATAAAAGCTGCCATGGTCCCCTCCCCACGGGTCTCACCCACATCTGTGTCACCCAGTCTACGACCAAAAGACAAGCGCAGTTTCTTCACGTGTCTCTAGGCTCCACGCGCCTCCTCCAGGTCTCCTGGCTCCATCCTGCTTCCTTCCTCAGTCTCTTCTGCAGCTTCTCCTCTTCCTGCTCAGCTCCACCCTCCCTTGGGTGGGGCAGGGAACCTCCCCCTTTCCTGGGGACCACCCTGTTGCAGGTTCAGCTCTTTTTTAACTTTTTGAAAGAACTCCACACAAAGCCACACAATCAAACTTATGTCCAATTTTTTTGTTAAAACAGACAAAATCCCTATGGAAGTTATGCAAAAACAGACTCTGAGATAAGTAGCAAAAATTACTACCACTATTTGTATGCTGTGTTGGTATCAAGGGGAGAGAAAATGTGACAAGTTAGCTTTGCTGGAAAAAAATTGCTGCAGATCCTGGTTACTCAAAACAAAACAAAACAAAACAAAAACTTCGTGGATTCAGGACAGAATGCATAAAAAAAAATTTCCAGTATTATGTCAAAGAAACCTTAGTAAATGTCAGGTGTATTTCCAGGTCTATTCAGTCCTTTGTAGGAAAGTTTTTTTACTCTCAACAGTTCCATCAATAGGAATCTGTTGAGACCTTTTCTCCCTATATTTCCAGAAACAATTCCTGTAGATATGAAACAATTGAATTATACAATATTACAAGGTGACAATCACCATTGACAATTTACATACATACCAGATACTGAGAGGTTTTTTTTTGCACATTTTAGAAACTACTGTTAACATATTGTACATACCAAAGTTTTACCATTTTCTCAAGTGACAATGCTTCCCTTCCAGTTTTACTTCATTCAGTAAAAGCCAAATAGAACAAATTCATCTAATGCCTTTCCCAGGAGGAAAGGGAGAAACTTTGTGGAGTGTCTCAGGAGCTCTACTGAGGTTCCACAAAATTTCCTTGCATCAGCCAAATGACAGGCTACCAAATTTGTACTTGAATTTAGATTTCTGGGAAGCTTTGCCGTAAATATCAGAAAATTAACAGAAACAACAACATTTTAATCTCTATGAAGGCACCGGCTTAGTTCAGTAGCACAATGTTGACAATCAAACCATAACCTTTAGTTTTTCTCATAACTGGAGACTTTTTTTTTTCAACGTCTATGGGCACCACGTATACCAATATTTCAACCTCTCTAGGCCAAGACAGACACAAGGACATACAGACATACAACATATAGACAAAGACAGTTTTTTTTTTTTTAGTTATGCCACGTAGAATATGTTATGTAACTGCAGTTTTACTCCATAGGCTCAGAAAAAAATGTCCAAGTCCAAAAAAATGTGGAGTGTTGCTGGCAGAAAAATTTCCGGTTGTCATCTTACAAACCTAAGACTTTGGAAATAGGAAGGAAAAGTTTTATTAATCACAAGAGTTACATGACCTTGTTTATCACCTTAGGGTTTTCAGTGTTGAAGACTTTTTGTTAGAAGTCAATCCTGGGGTATTCTGTACAGCAGCTGAAAGAATAAAAGTTAACTTTTAAGCAAAAGGAGTCATCTCTTGTTAGCCACCAAGCAGGCACTCCTTGGGTTTCCTGGAATAGAACCTGAAAAAGCAAAATCAAATTATCAGTAATTAACTTTCAATTAAAAGGAATCATCTCCTTACTTCTGTTAGCCACTCTGGGACAGAAGCTGAAAGAGCAGATTAAACATCTAAGCACAAATTACACCCCCCCACACACACTAGGGAGGGACAACAACAACACAGGTATGAAAACCTGGTACAGTTATATGATGCACCCTAAAGAGTGCTTTCCATAACAGACCTTCCTCAGTAGGAAGCAGAAACTTAGAACCTTGTCTTACACCAGCAATTGAACAAATCCAGGGTTCAAAATGGCAAACATGCCCAAAACAAATTGTGTAGACAAAATTCACAGCAGCAAATCCTTTCAGACTCAGACAAAATCTTGTTAATTTTTCTGATCCAGACTTTGCAAAAATTCAAGTTATCTCCAAGAATCCATCAAGGCTACCAGCAATTACCAGTTACTGCTTAAGGGTACTCTGCACTTAACACCCAGGCATACATTTGCTAATTAAAACACCACTGCTCCACAGTTGGCTTGAAAAACCCATCAGACACAGGGCAGGAAGTAGTCAAAGACAAAGCAACATACCACTGAAGAACCATTATTGCCTTTAGAAATGCTAATGAGACAGCAGAGATTACAAAAAGAAAGAAAAAAAAGTTCCAAAGTCCTAGCAACAAGAACCTCTGAATTTTACAAGAGCACACCAAGTGGCCTCAGACGCCATCTTTGATCTGGCCACATGGTCCAATGTACTGCCTAATCTTTTGAGTAAAACTGGCGCAGAACAATTTCCAAAAATTAAAATCTCTTAGCAAGTCACTACAAACAAATTACACACAAACACACAGAATCTTCACAAAGCCCAAGCCAGTTTTTCAACAGCAAATCGACATATGAAACAAACACACTGGAGAAACCAAAAATCACATTTGCGCTTATGGTAGCCAGTGCCATAGGGAAGCCCAATTTCCCCATGGGGCTGACTAACCACGGATGGCTCTGTCCTAAATCACGTTGGACGCCAAATCTGTTATAGGACAGGGAGAGGGGCAGCCCAAACCCCGCAAACCTGCCTATTCTACATGGGTTCTGCCATCCGCCGCATCATCACAAAACATAGGAGACTTTAATGGGAAGGAACTTTAATAAAACTAGGAAACAATACAGGAAAGGCAAAGAGTCTAGTTTCTAGTCTAGTTTCTAAATGAAGCATCCAGAGTTACCCTTCCCCTCGTGGGTAAAAGTCCATCCAAATGGGATTGGCCCAGAACAAGGCCCCAAAGCCTGCCACAAGTCTAAAGCATCTTCCAGTGGGGACCCACAGAAAAGGGTCAGAAACAACCAGACAAGCCCGGAAGGAAAAGAGCAAAATCAACATCAAGATAAAAGCTGCCATGGTCACCTCCCCAGGGTCTCACCCACATCTGTGTCACCCCGTCCACGACCAAAAGACAAGCGCAGTTTCTTCACGTGTCTCTAGGCTCCATGCGCCTCCTCCAGGTCTCCTGGCTCCATCCTGCTTCCTTCCTCAGTCTCTTCTGCAGCTTCTCCTCTTCTTGCTCAGCTCCACCCTCCCTTGGGTGGGGCAGGGAACCTGGAACTTCCCCCTTTCCTGGGGACCACCCTGTTACAAGTCCTGGAGGCCCCAGGGTGGGGCGGGCCGTGTGGCTTCCCCACTACTACAGCTGAGTCTGAGAGAAAGGGGGGTCTTTGCATAGGAGCATGCACATGGCTCTCTTTATGTGCACACAGTCTACACGTGTTACACACTGACACTAGGTAGAGAGGTGGAACACATTTACTATACGCATTCACACAAAGGTTAGAACACCAACCTTACTGCCCTCCATGATGCAATAGGAGGCCCCTCAATAGGGCAGATTCCCGAGTTCCCTGAGGTGGAGGGGGTGCTCACCCCGACCGCGCTCTTGGGTCCCTCAGGGATTTCCTCGAGGTTCTGTGTGTGTCCCCTTAGTCCTCCCTCTGATCCTCACCTTGACTGCGGTATGGCTGGGCCTTCCTTGAGTTTCCAGGGCTGGAGGACTATGTGGTGTTCTGACGTCCACATTCAGGTCTGTGAGAGACTGGGGACTTGATACTAAGAGCAGGGCCTCAGGTGGGCAGAAGGAGGAGCATGGACTAAAGTCAAGGTGAGGACATTAAGGGAGGATTGGTGGATGGATCGTATGGCAGAGAAGACCTCAGAGGCCAGCCAATGACCATGTGGCCTCCTGACTTCCGCAGGCAGGGTTGAAATATACCTGAGACTGGGTCTGAGGAACAGGGCCTTAAATCAGCAGAAGGAGATGGGGCCTGCTTCCACCGGAAGGAAGTAAGGAACTTGAGGGGAGGGAGGGTAATGCCTGCTGTCAGTGTTGGCAGACCTCAGGTGTCAAATTGAGAACCCTGGGAGAGCCTTGAGGGAACCCACACCAGAATGCAGGAAACCCCAAACTCCTGCCCCTTCTTTTAGCCATGAAAACACCTGAACCTGCAAGTGGTACCCCCTCATTTCCATCTTTGGTATCTTGTAAGGCAAACCGTTCTTTTAAGGAGGGTGGCCTCAGGTAACAGGCAGAAGCCCTGCCAGGGATCAAGGTGAGCAGTGAGAGTACCATACCCCCAGGCCAAAGCAGATGGACCCCACAGTATCCAGCCATCTCTTGTCCTTCCTGGGAGGCCCTGGGCAGTTGTGGCCATGGAGTCTCCTCACATTTTTCTCCTCTCTCCGAGGGCTGTGGGGTCTTGTTCTGAGAGCTTCACCTCAGATCAGCAGAGGGCTGGGCCCCCAGCACCACCAGGAAATTTGAGGACCTAAATATGGAGGACACTACCCACCCCAGAACAGAGAGTACCACAGAGTCTAGGGCGCCCATTCTGTCAACACTGGGACCCAGGGCTGTGCTTGTTGTCTGCATTCTGAGAGGTACCCCCGGCTTTCCTCTTACAGGGACACCAGGAGCCAGGAGGTGAAGTCCTTGCCCTCACCTTTCAGGCACAAGTCATCAGGGCACAGTTCACAGGAAGCCCAGACAGCACCAGGAGAGAAGGTGAGGTGTCCGTTCTGAACGGGGTTTCCCCAACACTGAAACAGAGGGGGCTCCGTAGCACCCAACCCCACCCCGCCCCACTGTCAGCCCCAGAGCCTCGGACTGTGGCACCTGCACCTGGAGGAGCCCTCTCACGTCCTCCTCAGGTTCTTAGGGTTCATGTTGTCTAGGAGTTTGGCAGTAGGTGAGGCCTCAGAGCGCCCCTAACCAGGAGCCTGTGAGGCGGCTTTGTCAGCACTGCCAAGGGAACACTTTCCAGCCGAGGCCGCTCATCCTTTCTATCCCCATGCCCTGGGGTCCCACTGGCCACTTCCTGTCCACATGGCTGCCAACTGAAGTCAGTCATAGCTCGTGCCCTAAGGCATTAGCACTGCATGCCTGAGGAGGGCCCTCAGTCTGAAAAGGAGACTCACGGGCCTTGAGTGCACAGGTTCCTGAGACTAGGAGGAAGAAGCTACCTCCTCGGCTTCCCGGCCCCTCTTCCTCCTCTTCCTTTCCACCCTCATCCTTCTCCTCCTCTTCCTGTTCCTGCTATTTCGTGACTCCAGGCACCCCGAAGGAGGCTTCTGTGGCTGCCAAGTCCTCTCCAAGCTTTCCTCAGTCCGCCACTGCCCCCGACCATGTCTGCCACTCCATCGTTCAAGTCAGATCATGACTCCAGCACCCAAGAGGTGGAGCCAAGCACTTCAGAGCCCCTGCCAGATGGCGGGTCCTTGCTTAAAGATGCCATAGATGACAAGGTGGGGGACCTGGTGGACTTCCTGCTCCTGAAGTTTCGCATGAAGGAGCCGACCACCAAGGCCGAGATGCTGAGTAGCGTCATCAAGAATGACCAGGAGCGCTTCCCTGCGATCCTCAGCCAGGCCTGCGAGTGCCTGCAGCTGGTCTTCGGCCTTGACGTGGAGCAGGCAGAGCCCAGCGGCGACTCCTATGTCCTGAGCAACACCCTGGGCCTCACTCTCAATGGGATGCTGAGCCCCGAGCAGAGCGTGCCCAAGACAGGCCTGCTGGTAAATATCCTGGGCGTGATCTTCATGGACGGCAACTGCGCCCCAGAGGAGGACATCTGGGAGGTGCTGGGGGCAGTGGGGGTATATGCTGGGATGGAGCACTTCATCTATGGGGAGCCCAGGAAGCTCCTCACCGAAGTGTGGGTGCGGGAGCAGTACCTGGAGTACCGGCAGGTGTGCGGCAGTGATCCCGCCCGCTACGAGTTCCTGTGGGGCCCCAGGACCCACGCTGAGACCAGCAAGATGAAAGTGCTGGAGTTTCTGGCCAAGATCAATGATACTGTCCCCAGTGCCTTCCCTATCTGGTACGAGGAGGCCTTGAGAGAGCAGAGAGAGAAATCTGGAACCGGCAAAGGGTCTGGGGCCGGCGTAGGGGCTGAGGCAGTAGGCGAGCCGGAGCTGGGGCCTGTTTCAGCGCCACAACCAGCACCTTCCCTGGCCCCAGGGAATGTCTGAGGCCCAAGTTTCCCTCTGTGCTTGAAGAGAGCAACCTTTACTCTAAACAGAGGGGCAGCGGCGTGCCTCTGGGGGCACCACAGCTGCACGACATGAAGATTTTTTCTCCCTTTTGCTATTTGTACTGTTCCCATCACACAAGGGTTAACTGACTGTGAGTACTGCGTCCACAGATGACATTGGCCACAGATGTGTTGCATTTATTCAGTTTAAGAAGTGAGCTTCTTGCTGTTTTGTAAAACAAATCTGGAAATTTTCCATCTCATTTTGTGATCTGGAACAAGATAACACGGAACTTGGAATAGAAGTTCCCTTGGAAATGTGAAAGACAGCAGTAAATCAATGGGTCGAGAAATAAAGATAAAAGCAAAAAAATGTTAGTTCTTGCCTTTCCTTATCCTGCTTGGTGTGTCTGTAAAATGAAGTGATCTCTACCTGGTTACGCCTGATTTATTAAAAAATATATCAGGAATTAAATCCCAGCGAGTGAGACCCCTGCTCACTGAGTCGCCTATTCCCCAGTCACAGAAGAAGCAGGGGGCCCAGAAGGCCTGGAGCAGTAGTGCAGTGCGGCGCAGCACTCCTGCTGGAAGATGGTGAGAAGTCTCCCCACCGTAAGTACCGAGGAGAGCGAGGGCCGAGGTGGTGCGGGCGCCCAGCACACTCCAGCGCAAAAGTGCTGCCGCAGGGCACGCTGGGGCTTTGGGATTGCGGCTCCTGGAGGAACTGAGGGCGATGCAGGCGGGTGTGGCAGGGGCCAGCCTCTCGGCGTGTCTCGTGGGGACAGAAACGCCTGCAGTGTAAACGGCACTGGGTAGTTGTTTTTTGAGCACAGAGAAGCGTCTGCCCCGGGCAGGTGGCACGGCGGCCTGCAGGCTCTCGCCCTCGTCTGCAAGGACCTACGGGCAAAACGGTAAGAGTCCTTTGAAGTGGCGCCCAGGAGCCTCGAGCGAGCGTGACCCTCTTCTCCCTGGCCATGGAAAGCCGGAACCCACCCTATTAATCGGACTTTGTATTCAAGTATCTTGAGGGAGTTGGAAAGCTCTCAGCAAGGGCTGCACTTCTGGTGTGGTGCGGGGGATGAACCCCGCGGTGAGCGAGAGAGGGCCAGGCCTTGTCTCTTTTTTTTTTTTCATTTTATTTTGCTTTCTTCTGTAATGATCTTTGCTGTCACCTAGATGGACAGCAATTGAATGCACCATTTACTTTCTGTCTGCCATGAGACAGAAACTGGGCTTATTGAACACAAAGCAAAACTGATTCTAGGAATTTCCAAAAGCAGAAACATCCTGGAACATGCCTCCCACAGGGAAGAGTGGAAGCTGCAGCGCGCGCACTTTCCAACGGTCTCGCCCTCTCATAGCCCACACGCTCCAGGTCTGAAATGTCACTGGACCGGCTGGAACAGTCTAGCCTGTCGCTAATGGGTTCTGTCAGTGAGTCTCCTGAGTTAATCGAAAACTACTTATTGATTTATACCCCCCCTTCTAGCAGGCTGCTTTCCATTAAGCAGAGAAAGTAATTCTATTAATGGAAAATCGTTGTTTGACACAGCCTCCAAGGCCTGACTCAGATGACACCTCCATTACCGCCTCCCGAGTCTTTTAAATGTTTTAAAATTAATTTTTATCGAGGTGATGTTGCTTTACAGCGCTGCGTGTTTTAGGGGTATGGGTTCACACCTCTGCAGACGTCTGCCCCACACCCACCCACCACCACCCATCGCCCCCCTCCCCCTTGCTCTCATCCTCCCTCCCTTGCGGGGCGCCTCAGTTCTGCAGTCAGAATCCAAGAGTGTGTTTTGGCTTCGCGGCGTCCGTTCCTTCGCTTGGCTTCTGTGCACCCCACCAGAGGAGGGCCACCATCTGGCATCTCTTTGTCCTCACTGGTTATTTTGCTTCGCCTCATCGCACCCAGTTCCATGCACGTTGCTGCAAGTGGCCAGATTTCACCTTGTGTTCCGGGGTGCACCCACGCCCCGTTTTCCTGACGCACTCTCCCGCCTTGGACACTTGCGCTGTGTCCACACACAGAGGAGCAGGCTCACAGGGGTGCTTGAAAACCAGACTCCCTTTAGGTCGTACATGAGGAACGCGCTCGCACGCCTGGCACCCACGCACACCACGGAGCAACCTGGTCAGGCTGAACTCGTCGATCCCCGGAGGCCCTCAGGAGAGAAGTACAGACGGCTCCTAGAAAACATGCCAGCTGGACTTAAAAACAAAAATAATTACCCAGCGAGCCACTGGCCCTTGTGTGGCCCCGCCCCAGGAAACTTTCCGGGACCCGTGCCTGGCAGCTCCTGTGTGGGGCCTTGGGAACGTGCCGGCCCGTGGCCGGGGGAGCCTCATAGGTTAGCCTGTGGCGGTGCCCGACAGGAAGGGCAGCCCCCCCACTCCTGATCGTTGTTAGGCTGATATAGACATTTCAGTTACCAACGTAGCGGAGCATGTATCCCTGTTGCAAAAATTCTACAAGTAGAGATGAATCCTGATTTCCCCATTTCAGACATCACCCACAATTCAGCCCCTTGCTCAGACTCGTAATCTCGTACGTTATTGTAACCCTGACTTTTTTCACAGATATGCTATAAACTATATTACTTTTATTCAACACATAGGAGGAGTGGTGTAAGCAACTCTCGTCCTCACTAAACCAGACACAGGATCTCCCTTGCGGCACATGGGGACACCCCACCTGGGCAGCTGCCCCCTGAAATGCTGACGTGTGTGCGCACCATCATTAATGAAGCGATTTCTAGTGATAGATACACACATTGTTTTCCATTTGTTGGATGACTAATAAAATGAAATCAACATATTTAAATATGGCATTATTGGTTAAAAGGAAATGTTTGCTAATAAGACACTTGCGAGCAGACATGAGGCTAAACTGAATATGAATAGATTGACGTTTTATTTCTGTATTTCTGAAATTTTATTGCAATAATGCGATACCAATTCATATGATCATAAAAATCACAAATGACTTAAAATTCTGAGATGTCAATAAGACCGTTCCCTTTTACTCTGAGAAGCAAGGGTTGGGTCAGGAGCCAGAGAGGGGGAGCAGGCCACCCCTAGCCCCTGAGGGACATCTGGAGGCTTGAGGGGACAAGCTCTGCCAGAGCCAGAGAGGCCAAGTGCAAAACCTCGGCCGGAGCAAATAGAGACCCCACCCCGGGCAGAGTGGAAGGTGGGGGGGGGGACTCTCCCGGTGAGATGGGGGCTGTGTGAGCCAGTGGGTGGTGCCTGAGGACCCACAGCTGAGCCAGGCCAGGAACACCCCTGAGCGGGGCCAGGGAGGGTGCAAGGGGGTGAGGGTACAAGGGGAAGCTCTGGGACAGACCCCTCAGGCTCTGCAGGAGTGCCTGGGCATGGCCTGGCTGGGCCTTGGCAAACTGTGCCGGTGGCTTTTGGTCCCTGGCTCAGGACCCATTTGTGAGGGCTGGGCCCCCCAGGACAGGTGTCCTTTGGTGGGGACTGTGTGCTCGCCATCCTGGGACAGTGGGCTGGCCAGGGTGGGAATGCCAGCAGAGTGAATGGGACCCTCAGAGGTGGCCAGGTTCCTGCTATTTGGAGGGCCGTCCTGTTGAGAGAGCGCATCCCGCCTCCCCCCACCCATGATGGTGTAGGGCCTGGGGAGGGGCTTGCACAGTGACACCTCCTCACAGAGGCCCAGGGGAATTCTGCAGTGACATGAAGTGAGCGGTGGTAACACTGGGTTTTCCCTGGGAGGCAGAAGGCCCAGGCCTGGGGCAGGCCGCACCACTCAAGTCAGGGAATGGTAACTTCTAGTAATTTCATTCATTCATCCAGCAAACATATGTTGAACATATGTGAAGGAAAAACAGCAAGTAAACAAAGCAAAGGAACGTGATCAAACACTCATCCAGCCTGCGGGCGGGAGGGTGGCGCGGTGAGACCGATGCGAGAGAACTGCAGGGAGTTAGAAGCTCTGAGATGGTGGGGAGAGTCTGCATTGCCCTCAAACTGTGTGTACATATTAGTGAAAATAGAATTTATTTACTAATTTGTGCTTTCAGTATTTTCCAACCGTCTGGAATACGTATGAATTGCCTTTCCAACTCTTTAGTATTGAAATGTGATGTAGACAACCCGAAATAAACGTGCACTCTCTAGATGGCCTCTTTCCATATTTATCAAACTCTTGTTGATCCAGTCAGTTCGATGCAAAATCTGGTGTGCTTAAGGCTGTGGAAGTAGAGAGGCGAAGGGGGGAGAGAGTGAGAGAAAGAGGAACTTTGAAATTTGGTTAGTTACCCAGCTTCTTCCAGAGTTTCAAATATAATAACACACCGACTAGACTCTACCTTGTTTATGCAGACCCTCCATGAAAAGTATTACCTAATATTTTAAAAGGAAAATTGTGTTTACTTTTAAACCATATTCCATATGACATAATTAGATACAATATTTATATAAAGAACTGTGGGTAGGCAACCTTGGCAGGAGGAATTACAATGATTACATTTATTATTACAAATGTTGTTTATATGTCCTTTTTTCCATATTTATAATGAGCAAATTAAGTTATTTGTAAAAAATGTGCTTTGGTTAAAATGGCCATTAATTCCCTGTATTGCCTAAAAACATACTTTTATTTAAACACTCCTTGATTTTCAAAAGAAAATTGCAACATTTTCATAAAAACAGCAAATTCCTTCACAGTTCTACAACCGCTCCCTTCTAAGGTAACACATGATTATCCTTCCCATGGTAGAGACCATGTAAAACACTGTAATTCTGGATTTTGTTCATTTCTCCTCGGCTGTAGGTGCCCCGTGCCTGCCTGTGTGCCAGGGCGCACGTGCTTACGCCGTGCCGTCTTGATTCCTGCCTGCGGCCCCTCATTCCCATGCCTTTTTTTTTTTTTTGGTGGGACCCTCGCCGGTGGCCGGGGATCGAACTGGCGCTGCAGTGGCTGCGGGCAGCCTCGCAAGCCAGCGCTCAGCCGCTGCACCACCAGGGGAGGCCCAT